TATCGAGAGTTCAAATATATTTTCACACTTGGCTTTTAACATATTGTTCAGAACGTTTTGCAAACCACACAACTTTCATGACTCCACTCACTAAACTGACATCAACGCTCAGGAGTCTCAGGAGTCTGAAGAATCAGTTCTTGCTACCATCTCACTGTTAAAATGAGTTCTCCAACAGGAAAAAAAAAACAATTCCTCTCCCACACCAATCCCCAAAATCAGTCATTTCAGTTTACTGAGACCCAGCAGTTGAGCCACTGCTGCCTCCATCACTGAGTCATGATAGTGACGTTCAACCTCACGGTTTTAGTTCAAGTGAATATCTCTTTAGATTTACCTTAGTGACGCAAACTGACCACAAGAGGCAGTGGTGGATCAGCAGCTCCCGTGTTAGGGTTCCTGGACTGACCCTGACAACAGTACAGATTAAGAAAAAGATTAGATTAGAATATAATAGAACACAATAGAAGGGATTAGATTAGAATAAAATAGAAGGGATTAGAATAGATTATATTAGATTAGGTAATATTAGATTAGATTAGATTTGATTAAAATAGAATAGAAGGGATTAGAATAAATTAAATTATAGTAGATAAAATTAGATTAGTTGTGTTTGGATTAGATTACAATAGAATAGAAGGGGTTAAGATTAGATTAGAATATACTAGATTAGATTATAGATTAGATTAGAATAGATTAGATTAGTATAGAATAGATTAGATTGCAATACATTACATTACATATTAATTGGATTAGATTAGATTAGATTAGATCAGATTAGATTAGAGTTTATGGCCAAAACGTATCTTCCATCTCTCTGTATTTTCCAGAAAGAACTTTATCAGTGACCTTTGCCTCAGCACATAATATTGTGTGCAGTCTGTATTCTGACCTCGGTGTGTGTGTGTGTGTTTGTATTTCCAGCTGAACTCTCCCATGAACTCAGTCAGCAGCACAGAGGACATCAAACCTCCGCTGGGTCTGAACGGCGTGATGAAGGTTCCAGCCCAGCCCTCAGGCACCGCACTGTCGCTCACCAAGCACATCTGTGCCATCTGTGGTGACCGCTCCTCAGGTCTGATGATCACATTCCCTTTGTGTGTTTTAAATAAATGAAGTTACTCAACAGAATGTTAGTTTAATTAAGTTTTCAGAGTCTCCAAACCCATAATTGCTGCAGGAAGTGGATTTGATTTGACTTGACTCAAATCTCTTGTTGTGACAGTGAATCTTCCACTGACAGACTGGAAACCTCCTCTACTCCTTGCTTTTCGTTTCGTTCACCAGTGACAATTTTTAATTTTTCCAAATAAAAAAGAGAGCAAAGGTTTTAAAAATGAGTTTTTCACTTTAAACTGATCATTGGTGTGAATGTGAGTGTGAATGGTGAATGGTTTGTCTCTGCTCCATGTGACCCAACAATGGACTGGATTATTTCTGGGATGTAACCTAGACCCCACCTGATGACTGCTGGGATTGGTGCCATAATACCTGTGAATGAATGAATGAATGAACAGTAATCACAGCCTCCAGGTGGCTCTAGGTCATTATGGTGTGGAGAGAATCTGTGACACAGAAACATGAAGCCGTCTTTTTTTTTTTCACTACTCCTTCAGCTCCCTGAGGGAAGTGACTCTCTGCGTTTAACTTTATCTGTGAAACACTGCAGTGATGTTTGAACAGACAACACTCAGATTATAAGACCGTCTTCAAACCACTGGGCCACAGGCGGTCCAGTGCTCTGATCATCTGTTCTTCCACAGACAGAACTGATGAATCTGCTCCTTAAATGCACACAGTTAAAGAACAAAAATCTCTGTGTCCTGATCGACTCTGCCGCGGGACCAAAGTGAACATTTAAATTCAGGACAGTGATTTTTGGAGTGGATCTGCGTCATCGCTGCCACGTGGATCCACAGAGAGAAAATCTGAGGCAGGTCTGGCTGCAGCCTGGGCCCTGCTTTCTCACTGTAGGTTTTTATTTATGCCACGAGGTAACAAAGGAAGTGTTTATGAGAAAAAATGGAAATGACTTCTTCACAGAATCAGCAGAAAAAAAACATGCTGTGAGAGACAGAACCATGTGAAAATGGCCACATCAGTGCTGATGCCCCTGGGCCTCTCAGCCCAGGCCCCACTCACTTCCCTTCAGCCTGAGGATCCTTCAGTCACACACACGTTTATTTTTATGTTTGACTAGAACACACTTCCTGTCGTGACTTTAGAGTAAACAGAGTTCCACTGTAGTACCAGTAAAACTGGGCCACGGAACAGGAAGGAGTTATTTCATTAAAAACTGAAAATATTAGAATTTGGTCGAAATTACAGAAAAAATGTTAGACATGATTCTCTATGATAGATTCAACAGAAATTGGACTTTATGGGTTTTTTAATACAATTTAATTTAATAATTTAAATGTAATAATAAAATGTTGATAATAGAAATCAATTTTACATTTAATTTAAATAATAAAGTAATAAAAATAATAGAAACATATAATAATTATTTAATTATAATTTTAAATATAATTGTACAATACTAATAATTAATAGTCATGGTAATAAGCTGCATTAATACACAATTAATTGTCAGACGCACTTAATTAGTTAATGTTATAAAAACTCTTTTTCTTGCCCAGCCCTGAATTTAAATTGTTTTTCAGTCAACATTTCATAGTGAATGGATCCAGTTGTAAGCCTTTCAGTAACACCCACTCTGTCACAGATAATAACAACAACATGAATACATCAGCCCAACACCACGGTAGTTTTATTCATGGCACTCAGCCCAGTTTATCATAAACACTGTTTTATTCACTACACACAGTAGGGGGCTCTATTCCATCTCTGCAGTACATCAGCCCCCTCTCCTCTAACTGCTCACATGTATTTGACTGACTCTCTCTCGCGTCTCCTCTCAGGTAAACACTACGGCGTGTACAGCTGCGAGGGCTGCAAAGGTTTCTTCAAACGCACCGTCCGCAAAGACCTGACCTACACCTGCAGAGACAACAAGAACTGTGTCATCGACAAACGCCAGAGGAACCGATGTCAGTACTGTCGCTACCAGAAGTGTCTGGCGATGGGCATGAAGAGAGAAGGTACAACACATAAACCTGATGTAATCCTGCCATGAATTTAACATAATCTACACTCAGAACAAATCCTTCAGCACTCTTTAGTTCCAGTTCTAATACTGAGAACCGATACTGAAACTTCTTTAGGTTTAGTTTCAATAAATGTTAAATGGACTGGAAGGCAGCGTTTCCCACGTAGTGCAGCTCTGTGGGTGAGCCCAACCCAAACCACAGAGTTGCAAAAATGTTTTACTATTATCAAGACCAGAGGAAACAAATAATTCTGTCTGTGAGCTAAAATCACTGATTTTCTCGGTGGACTTTGTTCTGTGAGCTAAAATCACTGATTTTCTCTATGGACTTTGGTCTGAGCTAAAATCACTGATTTTCTCTATGGACTTTGGTAAAAATCTAATACAAAACCACAGTGGAAGTGAAACAAGGACATTTTTCTGAAAAACAAATGTCAGCTTGAGACTAAATTCTACTACAAATTTCTAACTACTGTCGGTCAAACAGACCCAGTTAGTGTTTGATTTTACTGGAGGATAACGTCTGATGTGGTCACTCTTTTTTTCATCCTTAACTTTAAATTCTTTCCATGTTTTTTGTCCAGTTTAGTTTTGCTCTGGTTCTGGTTTTATCCTACATCCTCCTTCATCATCATTTCCTCATTCGTTCTCCTTTTCTGGTTTCATTTTTATTTTTTGACTTAATTATAAATTCAGCAGCTTTTCTGATTGTGGGAACACTTGGAGAACATTCCGTCCTCAGGGAGACGACTGAATCAGAATATTCCTCTGCCTCTGGTTGTTCAAGTTCCTAATAATTAGAATCAGGTTGGAACAGACAAACATGCTATTTCAGGAAAGTTACTCATTATAATTATTTTCTCTGATACTGCAGGGAAAAAGCAGAACCAAAGTGGATCAGATGGATCGCTCTTTTCATTTTAACATAACCAAGTTAAAAATGGGACAGAACCTGAAATTAGTGTGTGCTGACTGTACACACACACACACACACACACGCACAGAGTGGAGATGCTGTCTCATCTTTGAGATTCTCGTATATCTGGTCCTCCATGTCCTGCAGGGGGCACTGTGGACAGATCAGTTGAAATAATCCTTATCCTGAAAGTCACTTAAAACTTAGTACCCCGTTGATCTGTCTGACTTAGCATTACCTTTGTCTTTAGCTCTTTGCTAAATAAGTTGTCATCTAAAGATATTCAAATTTATCATCAATGTTTTCACCTCCATCTCAACAAGAAGGAGACGCAGAAGCTAACAAAACAACTTCAGTTTGTGAAGCTGATGTCTAAATTTATTTTTCTGTTTCAAACGTTGGCTCCAACCTCTGTTCTTTATAGACGTGGTTGTTAAGCAGGGCATCCACTGGAGGGCAGACCTCTATCTTCTCCTTATTACCTCTGGATTTTAACAAACTTTTTTTTTTCCTTTGTTCACTTCTGGTTGCTCAAGAGGGGGATGAGGAAGTGACAGAGGAGATGAAGGAGGAAAATTCAAGACTTTTATAATTCATTTCCATTGGTACAAGTAATAATAATAATAATGCATTAGGAGAAAGAGTAGGGTGAAAAAGGAGATGAGATTAGATATAAGAGGAGGTTACACAGAGGAGGTGAAGTCATTGTCATTGAACTATTTAAAAATCCATTTGTAACTAAAGACAAACTGTTTTGTTTTTACTGAGAAATAAAAATGACAGATGTTATTGTTTTCACAGTAAGGGTTTCGTTTCTCACATATACATCACTTTTATGCTAATTATTTTCATAAATCCCCAAATAATTAAACCCACGATGAGCTGACATCAGGTGACCTGCCCTGGTTTTAGTTCAAGTGGATATATTAATGTAATGTTTAATTATTTTATCTCTGGCATCAAAGTTCAAACACGCTCTCGTACGCTCACACGTGCTACAAAAACTAGACTTGAAAGATGATCCATCTGAGTACGGTTCTCCTCCGGCTCTGTGGTTCCTCTGCCAAGAACTGAATCAGAACCAGAGAGACGACCCTGGTGGAGGTGGTGGTGTTGTTAGACGAGGGGCCGCTTTAGAGGAGCCGCTGTCTGCTGCTGGAGGTCAGCTCAAGGTTAGAATAGTTGTGTTGGAGTCATCCAGAGGTGAGCGGCGCTGAAACCATGTTAGCCTTATTCCCGCCCATCTCCCCTCCTCCTTCTGCTCCTCCTCCTAGGAGAGCATAAATGCATTTAATCCTGTTTTTCTGCGGATCTCCTCGGTCTTTGCGGCTTCTGCTGCCTTGTTCTCTAACCACAGCCCTCGGGGTGCAGCAGCAGCGTGAGTGAGGCAGAAACAGCAGTAAATGATCATCGTCTCCTCTGAGGAGTAAAGAGCCAACAATGATATAAATAACAGCAGGAGGGACGGGAGAGGAGGCCAAGACAGGGTCAAGACAAACCAGCCCTGGATCGGGTTTCCTCATGTTGTTCTGCTGCTGCTAACTCTGCTCTGAACTGTCAGACTGCAAGCCAAACACACACCTGTGTGCGAACACACGAACACACACACACACACACCTGTACATACACCACGTACAGTAACCACTCAGGGATCTTTAACTCTTAGCCACGAGAGATGAAAAACAAAACACGCTATAGCCACTTGACAAATGACTTGGTGAATAAAATCTCCAACAAGTCGTTCAAATGACCTGAGAATAATTCTACAATAATAGAGGACCTGGATCACTGCTTTGTCTCAATGTTTGACTGAGATCATTCCACAGTCCATAGAGAAAATCAGTGATTTTAGCTCAGCCCAAAGTCCATAGAGAAAATCAGTGATCTCCATCACAGCGTCCCTGAATGCTACAATTGCCTTTTGTTTAATTCCAGGCTTTAATGTGGAGCTCCTGAAAAAGCTTACTTTAACGACAGCTTCAACTTTTTGGTGAAGTGTAAATCTGTGAGTGAGCACACTGACAGTGATGTGAGGAGACGGTGATTGATTTATTTGGAGTGTGAAAGGATGTTCAGTGGTTCTGCTGGAGGTGATAATTTTTTCAACACTTTCATTAAGTGTAAAATTCACAGCTCACTGACCTGAGTCTGTTTACTCTGCTGACTTGACTTGTGATGCAGATCTTCACCTTCACTGAACCTGACCCACTGCACACAGGAAGAGCTTCATCTAATCAAATCCACCTGATACACTGGTCTTATACTGTACTGTTTGTCATTTCTCACTAAAACAGAACCAGTGAGTTTCACAAACCACAGAAATGAACAAGCAATTAGAAAGAAGGAAATAATAAAGACTAAAAACAACTTTCTAACACAAGACTGACACAGAAAATGCTGCAATTTTTCAAAATTGCTTTAAATTAATACACCCACTCACTGATTTCATTTATTGATCTAGTCAGTGCAGTTCAAATATCTATCTGGTATTTCTCACTTTTTAAGAAAGTATGAGTAGAAACTGTGATCAATTTTTGACTAAAGATTTGAGGACATGCAGCTCCGACTGAGTGAGTGATGTGTTCACAGGGCGTAGGTCGTTGGTGCCACTCTCTGCTTTCCCTCACAGACGACCTTGAACTCGTCCACTGAACAGAAAGCAGCTTCAGAATCTGTGACTTTCTTCCATCCGCTCTGTCAGAGTCTTTATTGATGGCTAAACTCTGGTGGATGTTTTTTACTGACGTAAGGCGTTCGGGTCGTGAACTGCTCACCGACACAATGATGATCTTTACAGTGCACATGCACGCTCACACGAACAGTACAGTTTATTTTTCTTCCCCTGTGCAGCAGGGTCTGGACAGTTTGTTCTTACAGAAATAACAGAAAAAAAGATGATTTTTCTTTTTCCACAACAGTGATTGTCAGAATCATGTAGTTTACTGCAGGGCAGAGAAGACGGTCTCTTACTTTTGGTTTATCATAACAGAGTCGATAATTATTGACCAGATGCAGAAAAAACTAAAAAAAACTTTTTCAAGCAATCCCTGCTTTAAGTTTGAGTATATGGGAACTTAAAAAATAAATACATATTTTTTAAGATTCTTCTGTGAGAGATTGGTTGTTTATTGATTCAGGACAAATCCATGCAGTTTTTAAAAACAACCTATAAACAGATGATGAAGAGCTGAGACCACGGTTGAATAGTTTGCCTTTTTCACACCATATTATTTTTTCATAATGTTAAGGGTAATCTGATCAAATGTTGTTCTGTGTCTAGTTTAACTATTCATTGGGGGTTTTTTTCCACCCTGGGTTATAAATAAGTAAAAGATATTTTTTTACTTTTTCAAAATTTGATTATACCTTCCAGAAAACCTTAAAGAAAAACACCTAGTAGTCTTTCAAACCTCAAACATTTTATTTCACTTTGCTCGATCTTTTGGGTATAAAGAACAGAGACTGTGTAAAATTAAGACATGTAAAAAAAATAGCAGTATTGACCGGAACTAGTGTTGTTAAATGCAGCCGTCCAGGAGGAGCGCCAGAGAGCCAAAGAAAAGAACGAGAATGAGGTGGAGTCCACCACCTGTGCCAACGAGGACATGCCGGTGGAGAAGATCCTGGAGGCTGAGCAGGCGGTGGAGCCCAAGACCACGGAGACCTACATCACTGAGACCAACCTGGGGGTACCGTCCAACTCTGTGAGTCCAACATCGAGACATTGTTTAATCTGATGGATGGATGGATGGATGGATTAATGGTTGGCTGAATGGATTCTATGGTTGGTGGGTGGGGTTTTGTGTTTGTCCATGTTCGAGGGGAACTTCTGTACCTTCTTCTTCACCAACCACGTTGAGTCTCATTGATGTCTCCTGGTTCTTTAACTAAATTCAGTACAGACTGTCCATCAAATATCCAGTCTGGGTCCTGAACTAAAGCAGACCATGGGCCTCATTTATCAACCATGTGTCTGCGTTGACTAACCCAAAAACAATCTGATGGACCTACATGATTTACAGCTCTTTTATTCATTAATTCCGTTGACAATTGACAGGATACATCTGATTGTCATGGTAATAAGGGACAAAGTACGTCCCTTCTCAGTTCAACATGACGCATGTTTTTGTTTCTAGATTCAGGGATGATTGGTACTTCATGGACAGACTTGTGGTGAAATTCCTCTTCTTCACCCTCTTTGTCACTATTGTAATGAATAGAAAACAATTAATTCCTTATCATCACTCCTAGTCTGCGTACGTATGGATTTTTGTTATACTTTCACACATTCTAAATTTAGAACCTTGGATGGACTTAGTTCCATGGACCAGGGTTGAATTACAGCAGTGGCTGTTCTCCATGCTGCAGTGTCCCTGGGTCAGGGTCAAGGTCAGGGTCAGGGTCAGTTCAAGTGGATGGCCGACTGATGATGAAGTGTAGAATAAACATTAACAACATGACTGATGTGTTAACAGTCGACGTGATGTAACTTCAGGTGTGATGTGTTGTCATAACATTGTCTGGAGTTTATCCATCATTTAAATTATAAAGGTGTAAAAAAAAAAAAAAACTTCGTTCATAAAACGCCTGAGGAGGAAAAGTAAATATTTCATACTCTTGGCCTCGCCTTTATTTTTCAACTTTTCATAAATCTTCCTGGAGTCTGTTTTCACTTTTCTCCAACAACATCAGCTTCTGCTCACTTTTCCATCTTCACAGCGGCCCCGTCCAGAATGAGCTCATGGATGATGTCATATGTCAGATTTATTCCAGGGTTCTCTTCAGTGACTGGTCTCAATCAGCGGTTTATTTGGTCCTGGTCCAGATTCTGGTTCATCCTTGTTCTAAACCAGAGGACAGACGTTTGGACATGTCCTTGTTTCATTTCTGTAGAGCTCAGTTCTGGCCAACAGCCCTGTGTCTCTTCCTCCTCCTCCTCCTCTGTGTCTTAGCTGTGAGTTCCCTCCGCAGTTTTCTCCTCACCAACACGTGGAACCATCTCTCACTTTGACTCAGAGCCAATGAATAATGCAGCAGACGAGAGTTCCTGAAAGCTTTCGGCAAAGCCAGGGATTTCTAACTGCTTCTGCTGCAGCGGGAGAAACTAAGGAGATCCACAGATGGAGGGGTGAGACAGAAGGCGAGGAGGATTGACAGAGGGTGAGGAACAGAGAAGCTCTGCTGAAGGACGGGTGAGGAGAGTGACAGGGGGGGAGGCTGGAGCAGAGAAACAGGGAGAATCTTCAGGGACTGGTCAGCTTCAGCTGGAGGAAGTGTCCTGAGGAATGAAGGTGGAAGTGTGAAGGCTGTTATGTGAGTAAATGGGATGGAAGGGGGAGGAAGGGGGGAGGCAGAGAGACAAAGTGACTGAGTGTGGGTTTTAACAAGCGGTCCCTGGATGTCCTCCAGAAGAAAAGTCAAATGAAACTCTGCCGAACAAGAAGAAGAATTTTATCAGCATCACCGTTCAGTAGTGTTCACAGAAAAACAGTTCCCAGTTCCTCTCAGCTCTGTCTTGACTTCCAGGTGGCTCCATCAGTCAGAAACAGTTCTGGTAGTTCTGGCTTTTGAATTTTCACTGATTGTGTTTGACTTCAGGGTGGTTGGAGAAATTAGAGATCAGTTCCAGGTTCCACTGAGGTCTGTGGGAACCGATGGGTGTGGGTCAGAGGTCGTCTGTACTCTGGAGCAGAGACGTAAAAATGACAAAGTATTTTGTTTTGTTCCAGGAACTGTCTCTTTAATCCAACACTGGTCCAGACTGGTCTGGATTTTGGACCAGTCATGATTTTTTTTTGCCTGCAGCCACAGGACCTTGAGCTGTAGAATTTTCTATCCAATCAGGAAGCTTTGTTGCACAAGCTCCACCCCCGTAGGTTACATCATCACTGACAGTCACTTTGATTTTCTCCAGGTTCATGAACAAGTTCTTGGAAAATGTCCCGCTAATCAGACAGTAGTCCACCATGGACCCAAATACTAGTTCCTGCTTCGGTGATGGACACTTCCTGGTACTCTTTTTAGTCCCGGTAGTACACACACTGCAGTCATGGGACTACTTCAAACATATCAAATTCCTGTTCTGTCCCAGGTTCTTATTCAAAGTCTTGAAAATCCTTCATCTTGACACGGACTGGAAGAGATGGATTCTTCTGGTTCTTCCAGTCAACTGGAAAATGGTTCCAAATACAGTTCTTGTGCTGTGAAAAAAAAGAGGAAGTGGGGACTGAGTATTTAATAGTACCGAGTACTTCACATGACATGGTTGATGGTGGAACAGACACAGCAGAGGGGAACGTCTTATCTAACATTCATGAGTTCTCTAACAGGAACCCTGGGACTCTTCTGTGGTACTGGCTGTGGTACCGATTCAGGCCCTGCTTTTGCTTTTTGTTTTTTGTTGTTTTCCCACACAGAGCCTGACTGTTTGTTTGTGGCTGTTTATTTGTTGTTTAGAAGAAGTAGAGCAGAAGGAAAGTGTGGCAGTGGACCACGTCGACGCTGCCGTCTGATCCTGAAAAATTCATGACTCCTCTCTTTCTCTCAGTTTAGCCCGAAGTCACAGCAGAGGCACGGAGCTGAGTTTTTTATATTTGAGCTCTGGGAGGAAAATTACCCAGAACGCCTAAAAACAGACGAACAGTGAAGAAGTTAGGAATTTAATTAACAATTTCACATTCGATTATAAAAAACAGAATACACTCTGGTGGAGTTCAAGGATGGTGTGAGGTATTTTATGAAAACATCAGCAGCTGTGGAACAGTTTGGACAGAATTTGAAAATTATTGACATAAAATCTGAAACAAATGAGTGAAACAAATCACACTCATGTGTAAAAGTTGGAATAAAACACAAGCAACAAAAATGCAGGGAATGGGAAGATCACGCTGAGCTAAAGGTTTGTTTTTACAACAGATCAGAGAAGTAGCTACAAGTCAGAGTGACGATAGTCAGTGCAGGAAGAGCTAAAGGTTAGCCATGACAAGTATTAAATAATACTTAATTTAGTCCAAAATACTAATTAGAAATTACAAAAAAAAAAGTACTGCGATTATGAGTCAGCAACAGATACGTGAACGGTGGAGGTAATTCATTCACACTTTCACAGAAAGTGAAGAAAGAGAGGTTTAACCTGCAGCAGGAGGAAGAGGAGGAGGAGGAGTGTGTGTGCGCGCGTGAGGAGTACAAATGAGAGTCTGTGTCCTTCACATTAAAAGAAAGGAGATGTTTTCTCCTTCATCATCTGCTGCTGATCTCCTGAGAGCTTCAGCTGAAAGAGATCCTGTGAGATTTCACTGAGGATCAGTGTGGATTTGGAGCGGCTCAGTGTTTCTGTCAGAAAAGTTCACTCACACACACACACACACACTCTCTCACACACACACACACACAAAACTTTACTGAAGAGTTTTTACTCTAATTTATTCCACAAAAATGTCCCTCCTCACAAACACGTCAGGAGCGTGGACAGGTCCTGCTGTGGTGTGTGTGTGTGTGTGTGTGTGTGTGTGTTGCATCAGTATTCTTCAGTTTCATACTCCCTGAGCTGAAGTATCTGGTGCATCAGGACAGTTGAGGACAGACAGTCCTCGTCTTTGAACGACTAATACTGCTGACGTTGAGGAGTGGGAGGAGGTGAAGGAGGAGGGAGAGGACGAGAGTGATGTTGATATTACTGCCATATTACAGTGTGTGTGTGTGTGTGTGTGTGTGTGTGTGTGTGTCTGAGAGAGAGAGAGTGACGCGGTCAGGTGGAGTTTCTTTTCATTTCCTCCAGATATATATTTCTTTTTCTAAGTATTTATTTTTCTGTGTATTTCATTTTGTGAGTAAATTATAATTTAATATTTTAATTTATATTATAGAATTTCTATTTCTATACAGGCATTTAATATATTATTATATATTCTTTTTATTTTTATATTTTATTTTGTTGTGAGTATAAATATATTTTTCAGTCAGTGGTTTTTGTAGGTATTTATATTTTCTTACAGGTATTTTTTCTGTTAATATTTATATTTATATAAGTATATAAATATTTATTTAGGTATTTTTCTGTAAGTGTGTGTATATATTGTATGAATGGGGAGGTGTGTGTGAATATTGGGGTGTATGTACTGTATATGTGGTCATGTATGCATATATGGAATATTGTTATTGTTTCCTGTGTATAGGTAAATTCCATTTAAGATTTTTTAACACAAAATCAGAAATATTCTTGTCATGTTTTTCTTATGGTGTTTATATTTTTTCTGTAATTTTTTATATTTCTTCCGTGACTCTTTGTATTTTCCTGCAGCTCTGACTAACCCACTGCACCTTATGTTCTTCAGAGAACCTGATTCCCAGAGCAGAACCGATGTCAGTGCTGGTTTGATGACTGACCTGGATCCTTGTAACATTTTCTTCTTTTTTTTTTTCCTTCTCTCCAGCCCAACGACCCAGTGACCAACATCTGTCAGGCAGCAGACAAACAGCTCTTCACTCTGGTGGAGTGGGCCAAGAGGATTCCTCACTTCTCTGAGCTGCCGCTGGACGACCAGGTCATCCTGCTGCGAGCAGGTGAGACCAACAAGAACAGATACTGAAACACAGATGGGAGTGTGTGTTTAGGCTCACCGCCTACTGTGTGTAGTGCTGGCATAAAACCTACAGAGGCAGCAGAGAGCTGAACCACCTTGTTGCTAGTGGTCCCAGCAGTGAACCTAAGAGTTTCTGGTACCGATTTGTGCATCTTCTTCACTAATTGGTCCAGAGTTGAAACAGAGTTGGATTTGAGTTCAGACTCTGTTATTAGGCTGTTATCTGGTCACCTGACTGGTCACCTGACTGGTCACCTGACTGGTCACCTGAGCCCATCTAGTGTCCAGAGGAGTTAGAACCATTGTGGATCACAGAAATGAGAGCAAACCAGACTGAATCAGTGCTTTTTTTCTCTCACAAACACACACACAGCTGTTTCTCTGACTTTCTCCATCTTTTCCCTTTTTTTTTGTTGCTCCTAACTACATTGGCTGACTCCCCTTCCTCCCCCCTACACACTCATGACTGGGTGTGTGTAAAAAAAAAAAGTCTAAATCCACAGTGAGTCTTGAGGAAACACTGACTTGTCCCTGCTCCACTTTTCTATAAATAACCTTTTTAGTTTCAGAGCTGTATCACAGATGAAAGACGTTCAGCTCCTACTCTGCTCCGCTCTGGGGAGAACGTGGAACTGTTGCTGGGCAGAACTGTTAAAGGAACCACGTCACTGTGTCTCCATGACTCCAGCTCTTCTTCTTTCAGCCTCGTCTCTCAGTCAAATGAAATCCCAGCGTCTGTTCGGTGTTTTAGACTAAACCAAACGGACGTGATCACATCTGTGAACTAGTCCTTAGTTCTTCTTCTTCTACTGCTGCTGCTGATGATGATGATGATGATGCTGTAGAGTCCAAGGTCAACCTGGGTCAAAGTCAACGTTCTGCTAATGTTGCTGCTCCTGTCCTGCCTATAGGCTGTGAATCACAGATGTATACTCCTTGTTGTCCTCCACCTGGGCTGTCTTAACATTAACTGTTGACTCTTCCTGTAAATGAATTAATATTTCCTCCGTGTCTCCCTTTCACTCAGGTTGGAATGAGCTTCTCATCGCCTCATTTTCTCATCGTTCCATCGCGGTTAAAGATGGGATCCTGTTGGCCACTGGTCTACACGTGCACAGGAACAGTGCCCACAGTGCAGGAGTGGGGGCCATCTTTGACAGGTCTCTATGATTCTCATCAACTTCATCTACACCAAATCAACATCAGTTCTTCTTTGTAATAATCGTCATCATCATCATTAACATAATGTCATCGTCACCATTATTATTATCAATGTCATTCCATTCTTCATCATTGTCACCAATGCATTTATCATCTTCATCATCAACTACACCATTATCAACCTACCCCACATTGTCACCATTATATACTTCATCACCATCCTCCTCATCATCATTGTCAATATCATCATTAGCATCATCATTATTAGCATCATCATTATTAGCATCTCATCATAATCCTCACCATCATAATCCTCACCATCATAATCCTCACCATCATAATCATCATCATTGGCATAAGCATGGGCATCATTATCATTAACATCTCATAATGATTGTCATTGTCATCTGTATCATCATCATTAGCATCATCATCATTAGCATCATGATTATTAGCATATTCATCCTCATCATTAACATCTCATGATTGTCATTGTCTTCATAATCATCACCATCATTATCATTTATATATTTCATCCTTCATTTCTTTTTCTTCCTCTTCTTCCTCCCTTTGTCATTTTCTCTCTTTTTCCACATTTGTTTTTCTCTTTATTTTTTCCTTTTCATCTTTTATTTTCTTTAAGTTATTTTCTTCCTGTTTCCTTTTCATCTTTTCTTTTCTTTAAGTTATTTTCTTCCTGTTTTCCTTTGGTTTTCACAGCTCCAGCTCCAACCTCTTTCCTCTTACTCAGCGTAAACTGAATCAGTTCCAGCTCTTGTCTCGATGGGTGTGTGTGACCGTGATGTCACAGGGAGGTCAGGAGTTCGAGTCTGCTCCACCTCCTCCTCTCATGGCCCCTCCCCTCTGATAATGATGTCACTCAGCGAGTGGCTGAGCCTCACAGACGCAGCGTTGTGTTTATTCAGTGGCAGAGAAACCACATAGTAAATATAATTACACAGCAGATCCTTGTAAACTTTTCCACTGATCTAATTCTACTCTGGTTTGTGCTTTTAAATAGATCAGAGCTGCAGCACATTTCAGACCTATTTCAGTCCTCCTGCCTCTGGATCTGCTCTTTCAAATTCACTTAAACTCCTCTGGTTTCACTGGGACCTGAAGTTCTTTGGTCCTAAAAATACTCTTATATTTCTTAAACGTTGATGACATTAAAGAGTAACTGTGGTTTTTTTTTTCTTCCTCAAACCTTCAGAGTTCTGACGGAGCTAGTGTCCAAGATGAGGGACATGCAGATGGATAAGACGGAGCTGGGATGTTTGAGGGCCATCGTCCTCTTCAACCCAGGTCAGATCACTGTGTCATCCCTGCAGACTCTCCTGTCAACATGGAGCAGTGTTTTTATCTTAAATGATCTCTCTGAACCAGTTCTCTTCAGGTGATCCTGCTCTGCTGGATCTGGTGTGTGTGTGTGTGTGACTGGAGTCAAGGTGTGTGTGTGTCATGTCTCTGGTCTTTGAAGGACATGAGAACAATCAGAGACTCCAACAGTCTGTGATCAGATGAAAGTGTTGAGGAGAAGAGTGGTTTCTGCTACAGCTTCATAAGAACCTCACACACACACACACACATACGTGCTGGAACTGATGGGTGACGTTTTTGTCTCCACAGACTCCAAAGGTCTGTCCAACCCCAGTGAGGTAGAGGCTCTGAGGGAAAAGGTCTACGCCTCTTTAGAGGCCTATTGTAAACACAAATACCCTGAGCAGCCTGGAAGGTAAGACCACCGACAAACTGTCACAAACACGGAGTCAACCAGTTGTTAAAATACCACAAAAACTAGAGGAACCTTGAACCTTGAGAACCAAAAAACTAAAAAAAAAATATTAGGACAACTGGGAAATCCCAGGACAAGGTGAAGACACCGGGTCACTGGTAAACTGGGGTAGTTGTGTAGAACCATGGAGAACGAAGGAGAACCAGTGAGTGGTGGTGGGAGATTGATGGGACAAGTATACTGAAGAGAAATGAAAAATTAGAGATGAATTGAGGAAAACTGAAGGAACAGGAAAACTAGGAAAAACCTGAAGAGAACAAGAAAACTGGGAAGAACAGAAAAAACTGGGAAATGTAAAAGGCTGTGAAGAGAACTAGGTGAAGATGGGAGGCAGAAAGAGGTGGAGAGGAATGGGAAAAATTGAGGAAAACTGAATCCAACACATCTGAAGAGTTTGGTTCAGTGGAACCATTTAAGCCAAATTAAAAAAATCAGCATCGTTTTAATGAAAAATAAATTGAACTTGTTGTTTAACGATTTTTTAAATTTTTTTTAAGTGAAAATGGCTGAAGGTTTGTCTGGAAAAAGTCAGTTTCTCAATCACTTTTTTTTTTACTCATGTAGTTCTTAAGTTTACGTTTTTCAAAGACCTGTTTCTCCTGCTGCGTCAGGTTCGCCAAGCTGCTCCTGCGGTTACCAGCGCTGCGCTCCATCGGCCTCAAGTGTCTGGAACATCTGTTCTTCTTCAAACTGATCGGGGACACGCCCATCGACACCTTCCTCATGGAGATGCTGGAGGCGCCGCATCAGATGACGTAAAACATCACCCGGGAGGAGGAGACCACGTTGGAGCCACGCTCCTTTCTCCTTCTCCTATGTGCTACAGGCTCCACCCCCTCTCTCAGCAGAGTTTTTTAATTATCTGTAAGAAAATGGACGTCCGTCTCCTTGGAGGGACAGAGGACGTGAGGCTTTCCGCTGGAGACTAAATTTGATTTCTCTGGCGTTTTTATCAAACAGTGACATCATCCTGTCTGTGGACCTGTTTTTTTTAACTTTGTACAAATATATAAATAAGAAAATTCTATATATAACTCTATGAAAATCCACAATAACTGGAGTGAGAGCAGACGACCGGGTGGAGACGGCCGAGGACAAACTTTGAAAACCTCTGTCGTAGCTGCTCCGACACATCTGAGGATCAGACAATTCCAGGTATGTCATGATGATGATGATGATGTCACACTGGGACACTCAGCGTTTGGATGAGGACAATCTTGATGGAGACTCAGGACTTCCACTCTTGGACCTGAGGTTTCTCCTCAGACTTTCAGGACTGAACTTTCTCTTTGTGGGCAGCACCATGGTGTTGGTGATGGTGTCAGTGGTGCTGGTGTTGGGGGTCAAGAGTCGTCTGGTTCCTGCCTGACCCGACTGAACATCACCTTCTTGCACTAAGTTGTTTTATTGTTTTTAAGTGTGAGTTTAAAAAAAAAATCAGAGGCAGGTTCACACAAAACCCACAAAACCTCAGGTTTCAATTCCAACCAGTAATAAAATAACGTTGTCTTACTCTGTTAGCACTGTGCAACTTCACAACAGAACCACAGTCCAGTCCAGTATCTACTGAAGGGAGAGTTTAGGCTTTTTTTAAGTGTGGTGGCATGAAGTCAAAAAGAGAGATTTTAGATACAATTATTGACTCTTGATTTAGCCTGAAAAAAAAAAGATTAGGACCTGCCCAAATTATTATTTTCCTATTAGATTATTTAAACACTGAAGTTTGTGAACCACTCACTCCCAACCCAAAGTCCAGAGTCAAAATTGATCTCTTATTTTCTCTATGGACTTTGGTCTGTGAGCTAAAATCACTGATTTTCTCTGTGAGGTTTGAGGTATGAGTCATTGGTTTACATTGTAGATAAAAAGTGAAGCAGATTTAAATTTACAATACGAGTCTACAGTATCAAGGAGCTAAAATCTATTTTTACCCAAAATTAAATCTCGATTTTGAATCCATAAAAACCACGCTGTAAAATTGTCTGCATTGTCCCTTTAGTGTGTTGGTGGATGAAGAGTCTGTTCTGACTCATAGGAAAAAGGCGACTGTTGTGATTCATTAGCTTTACTGGAGGCTCTGAAATGAAAACCAGCAACTCTGAACAACTTTATCGACTTTATCGTTTGTTTTTCAATCCTGACATTGACACTTGACTTTTGTTTCATCAGATCTCTCGCTGTCATCCATGTTAACAGTTATGTTCATGTAAAAACAAAAACAGAAAAGTGATCAGGACCGATCGGTGTCAGCTCTGACCGGTACTGTTGACTTTAACAAAAACCTCATGTCTACCTGTACTGAAAGTTATGGCGGTAAACAGTGTTCACTTCCATTTCCAACAGCAGTTACCTCCGTGTTCATCCTCCCACACTCCCACACTGGTTCACTCACTCTTCAGCAGCAGGCAGCTGTGCACGTGGTGGCAGACGTGCACGTGGCGCTGCGGCTGCTCCTGCAGAGCCGTTACTTTACATGTGTTGATATTTCATTACGTGGCACTTAAACCTCACGCCGGCATCAGTGTGGTCGGACCACGTCCTCGTCCTCCACGGAGGCACGTGCACTGACCTGGTGCACTCTCCCTGCACTTGTCTGGACACGGACCACTTTGTCCGACTCCAACCTTGAAATGCGTCTTATTTCTGTCCACGGCTTCATGTCCATGTCCCGCTCCTTCCTCCTGTCTTCGTCTCCTTCTCCTCTCACTGCTGCAGCTGATGCATCACAATCAAACCTATGCATCCAAACCAGTGCACTTTTCCAAAGAGTGACCATGGAGCGCTGGGATCCTAAAGAAGAAGAAGAAAAATAAAAACAGTCAGGCTTCAGTCGGATCGTTTCCTGAACAGGAGAAGAATTGATTCAGTTGAGGTTCTTCTGAGTTCTTCTGCTCCAGTTCGGTCAGCTTTAACTGAGAAAATAGAAATGAAACAGAAACAATCAAACAAATCAAACGTTTATTCTTTTTCTGAGAGCAAAGGAATTCCATTATTTTTGTACCTGACAGTAAATAGGAAGGAAGACAGTGGAGTCTTCAAAGAGACATTTTACAGAGGCGTCGAACTTTAACCCATTTCATATTAAATTACATTTGTATTTAATTGAACTCAAAGTGGAAAAACAAAAAGGGTTTGACTTTAAATTGAAAATGTCTGCAGAAAAACAATCTGATCAAGTTAAAAATGTCATTTTCATGTGATGAAATCAACTGTCAAAGACCAGAACTGGACCTTTTACACTTCAAACACTAGGTGGTGATGTGTGGTCTGTCCAACATGTCCTTCATTTGTCCTTGTCCTTCATCAGCGCTTCATTAGATTTTGTTTCCTCCTGCCATGGTCCCTGTCTTTTTCTTTTTTGTCCATCATCTTTTCCACCCATCCTCCATCTGTCCTTCTTGTCCCAGGTCTGACACACTCTTCGTTGTTTGCCGCTCTTGTCCCTAGTCTGTCCCTTAGTGTCTCCCATCTGGCCTTTTCGTCCAGTATCTGAATCAAATGTTCCTGGTCTGTCCCTCACCTGCCCCCATTTCCCTGTTCTGTCCCTTGCCTGTGTCCCTTTGTCTGTCCCTCTTGTCCATGTTCTGTCGCTCTTGTCCTTCATCTGCCCTTATTGTCCATTGTCTGTCTGTTACATGTTTGTCCCTTTGGCTGTCTCTGGTCTGTCCTGCATGTCCCTGGTTTGTGTCTTTCCTCCCTGGTCTGTCTCTCTTGTCCCAGGTCCGTCCGTGGCCTGTCCCTCTTGTCCCTGACTGCCCGTCTCCTTATCAGAGACAGGACTAGTCAAATCATGTGAAACTGAAATCGGATCAGATCTGACGAGCTAAAAAAAAAGTGCCGCCTGTCATTAACATTTCTTCATCAGTTTTTGTGCAGTGGTGGTGTATTTTTTTAGCTGTGTGCTCCCTCTGCTGGAGCAAAAGCAGCACTACAACATGACTTGAGGTTTTTTCTTCTTTTTAACTCCAGCTGGAAGAAAAAGCAGGGCACTTTGACACAGTGTTTTTCATGCTTCATTCATTAAGAAGCTAGTGTTAATTTATATTCAAACTTTTTTAAAAAAAGAAACCAGCAGCGACAGCATGAGGAACTTTTTTCTTAAAGATCAGCTCCTGTTGTTTAATGATAATCAACAAACCTGTACACAGCTTTGGTGGTGATGATGATGATGATGATGATGGTGGTGATGATACATCAGGTGACAGTATTAACTGCCAGCTACAGTTTACAGTCTTTATATTCTGGAAAACTCTCTCTTTGAAGAGATGGACAAATAAAAACAAAAAAAATATCGATTTAAGCTTGATTTTTCTGTAAAAAGAGGAAAAAGACTTTCTTAAACCAGCAGAATTTTCTGTTTACAATGACTCGTCTGAAAGAAAAAAAAACAGTTTTACTGTGACTGCTTTTATATAAATAAATAATTAAAGGAGAACGCTGATGATGATGATGAAGATGATGATGGAGCTGACTCCTTTGTGGAAAAGAAGTTGACAAAACTAAAAATGTATTTTAAAAAAGTACTTACTGTCTTATTGGACACTTTGTTGAGACGTTCTCATCACTGTCGTAGAGTTACTGTGATTTGTGGAAGTGTCAGGAGAAACTCAACACGCAGCATTCCCACAAATGTTGAGAACATTTGAGCATGTTGTGGTCAAAGGTGTCGTAAACTTTTTAGTTTTTTCTGCTTTTTTGTTTCTCACAGTGATGATGAGAATGGTTACAATGATGATGGTGATGATGATGATGATGAGAGTTGGACAGCGTTTTGTGAAGGGGTTGGACAGACCAACTGTGATGATGAGACGACGATATGATGATGAGATGAGTCATGGATGCTGTTCATATGTAAATGTGTATATATTTATAAATATATATCAACAGTCTTCAGACAGTAAAAGGACAAGGCTCTCAGACCAAACCAGCTGATAGTTTGACGGGTTTCTGTCTCTGTTTTGACTTGAATGATTAAAAAACCAACCAACAAACAGAGAAGCAACAACAACCAGCAGCACCAGCAGCAGAATCAGTCTGGGTCCTGGACTCTCAGAGGTCTGCAGCTGGACGTGAGAAAGAAAACAAAAAGAGACAGTCTTTCTGCCCTCAGAACTCCGTGTGTGTGTGAGTATGCGTTTGTCACTGTGTGTGTGTGTGTGTGTTGCTTTTGCAGTTGAATAAAATCAGGAAACGCTTGTGACACAATCACTGCTGTCTCTGTTGCTTGGACAGTTCAAAGGAGAAAAAGAAAACTGATCTATTTTTGTACAAAGGTGATTCTATCCCTGCTTCTTTATTCCCTTTTTCCCTCGTCTCTTCTGCTCTGCTATCTGTCCGTTCTTCGGTGGACTCTTGTAAAAAAAATTTTTTTTGTCCCGTCTCTGCAGTAACTCTGTCGCCTTTTCTCATTCCTTGGCAGAGAGATGAGAAACTCTTTCCTTCTGCTGCTCGAGTTTGTTTTTAAAGGAGTTGGATTTTGGTCATCTGTTCTTTGTGGGTCGTTCTCTGGTGTTCTGTCATGTTCTCTAATGTTCTTTCTTGGACTGAAAAAAAAACTTATTAAAAAAGTTTGAATTTTTTTTTTCAATCCGTCTGAGTTCGTATGGACAATCACCACCTATGCATATAGACATAAGATGGTACTGAGACAGCAACGATACACACAATTCACCGTCCCGTTCAGTTCGGTATTTAAGGGGGACGGGTCAGTATTTTTATGATACCATCTAGAACCAACTAATGCCTTTTTGAACTTATAGTTAATCGAAATTACCAACATGTTTCAACTTAAAAAAATTAAGTTTTTAATTAATTTAAATATATCTGATGCAGCTATACCGACCTGGTTTTCTGGTGCTCATACTAAAAAGTTACAAAAGAACCTTGTAAACAGTCTCGTCATCTTCATGCTGCAAGATTGATTGAGTTTAGATAATTCCTCACCTTTGACCATCTTTTGATCCAACCAACCAGAAGGCCGACGTTCTGTAAATAAAAGTTTAATAATGTTTACAAAACAACTCAACTGGAGCTTGAGACAACAATAAACATAGAACAGGATCGTGAGGTTCCATGGACTGTAGAAAGTAACAACAAATATATACATTTAGTTTTTACCCAACAGAAACATGTGGCGTCATCGCTTTAGGCTTAAAAGAAATCCAGGAAGACTTTTTTATTGGCAAAAAGTAGGAAGATAATATGTTCCTTCAAGCGGCAGGTAAATAAAAAAAAAAACAGTCTGTTGGTAAAAAAACATTTTTTTATATATGAGATTACAAAACGACACTAACGTTAAAAAGTACAAACAAAATAAAGAGTAGATTTAGTGTAAAAGACACACAGGGCACAGTTTGCTGTGATGATGGAGTTAAAGTCAAAAGAATAATAATAATTATTATTTAAATGACTAATTAAGAAAACAACCCAAGCTGTCTGTACATGTGCGTGTGTGGAGACTGAACAGTCTGTGCTGAGGACGTGTTTCCTTTCTTATGCTTTGATGGAATGCCAAATGTACTAGTGGTTCTCAAAGTAGGGGATGGGCCCCCTTAGGAGGGTGTGGAGTTATTGCAAAGGGAGGTAGATGATACTATTATTTTTTTTTTTTTTACCACAGTAGGAAAAAATGTGTGATTTTATTCCATTTTGGTGAGAATATCTGTTTTCAGGAATCACAGTGTAAATGAATCAATAGATGTTTAAAGCAATAGCTGTAAATGTGTAGACGTGGTGGAGTGGGAGGCAGGGGGAAATGGGGTCGGGGAACTACTGACATGCATGGAGAGGAGATGACGACCAAGAAAAAGCTCAAACAAATAACCTTCTTTAAAAATTGAATGCAGAGGAAATGGTCTAAAAAACAAAATAAAATAATAATACATTTTTTTATAAAAAAGAAGGAACAGAATTTCAGCAGTCACTCCTCCACAGCTTGATGGTTTTGTCGTTCTCCAGAGCTGCAGAAGCGACGATGTTCTCTGTGGGGTGACAGGCTGTGGAGATGATGACGTCTGCACAGACACACACACACACGGAAACAGTAGTTACTACTTCAAACTCTTATTGTTAGTCGACTTATTCTATTTAAATATAAAATAAACTAAATATTTTCAAATCCAATAGTTTAAGAATATTCCATATATCTACAGAGTATATATCACTTTAAAAGTGTAAGTGCTATGTATTTTATGAGCTCGTTATTCACTTCTATAAGTCTTAAATGTTAACATGAGACATGATGTCGTTCTAGTTCCTGGTTCCTCCTGACCTGTGTGACCCTGCAGCTTCTGGACAATCTCCTTGGTCTGAAGGTTCCAGATATAAACCATGTTGTCCTCTGAGCCTGAGATGATCCACTGAGACATACACACACACGGATGAAAACTCAATCCTCTGACCGTCATCCTGGAGTAAAACTAAACCGTATCAAAGTAAAACCAGGTAAAACTCACCTTCCCACCTGTGACCGAGAAGTTAGCGAATATGCAGTATTTCTCATTTTTGTGTCCTGTGTAGGTTTTCAAACACTGGAACAGAGGGACACTCAGGTTGATGAGAGATTTGAATTCTTTTTCTTTCGGCTTTGTCCCTTTTTCAGGGGTTGCCACAGCAACATGAGAGATTTGAATAAACCATGAAAACACACAGAAGGGACCTTTAGTCAGAATGAAGACTCAGGTCCATTTAAAGGCCAGGTTAAAAGGGGAAAAAAAAGTAGTAGTTTCAAATGTGAGAAAAACATCATCAATGACTTGGTAACTGTCTTTTGTCTTTTAAAAGATAATTTTTAACCTTGTTATAATAGTCATTTTAAATTAAACATCATAATACAATACAATTCATTTGAATAAATGAACAGTTATTATTACATGTGTTGTTGTTGTTGAAAAATAATAATAATAATCCAAAAAAAATAGTATTGTTATTATTATGACGTCACTGACCTTTCCTTTGCTGTAGTCCCACAGTTTCAATGTGCTGCAACACAAAAAAACTGTGTTTAAACGCGTCTCTTTTGTACAGGTTGTAATACAGTCAACAAAGGTGAGGTGACTGCGGTGACAGAGTGCCCCCTGCTGGTCAAACAGTGCCATACTCACTTGTCCAGAGTGGCGGCAAGGATGTATTTACCGTTGGGTGAAAACTTGACAAACGACACCGGTGGATTATCGTCGTCTGTAACCATGGACACAGAGAAGAGGGAGAGTTCAAACACTGTCAGATTAAACCACGTGACAAAAACACGATTCATGACAGAGTGCAGCACTGCTGGAGGAGATTGATCAGAGACAGTGACAGAAAGGAAATGACAAGGCTGAGGGGAGTTAGTGTGGACAGCAGACAGAGGACAGAAGAGGGACTTAGAGGGACAAACATAGAGACAGTCACACAGAAAGACAGACAGACAGTGTCTTACCTATGAGTGTCTTCAAACACTGTCCTGAGGCTGTGTCCCAGATACGACTGACAAAAAAAAAAAACAACATGTTCATTAGAAACCAACACAGGGTGTGTGGCAATACTAAGAAGGCCGAGGGTTCGATTCCCAGCTCCAACAGTGGGTTTTCTGTAGTTGTAGTCCGAAACACGCACATTAAGGATTAGGATTAATGTTAACTCTAAATTAACCATAGGTGTGAATGTGAGTATGTTAATGTTAAATTAACCATAGGTGTGAATTAACCATAGCTGTGAATGTGAGTGTGAATGTGTTGTTTGTATCCACTTAACAATGTTATGGACTTGAGAGGTACCTAGCGTGTAGCCCCAACCCCAATGTCCCACCTGATGGCTGCTGGGATTGACAGTGGGTTCAGAAAGAAAGACTTAATAAGAGAATATATTCTCACCAGAGTCCGTCGTAGCTGCTGGACACGATCAGAGAGCCGTCTCTGTTGAAGTGAACCTGAGAAACATCACACTCATCAGTCATAAGACCATAACATTACTGCTCAGGAAATAAAGGTCAAAGGTCAGCCTTACAGCAGAGACCGGGTCAGAATGAGCGGGCAGCGTCTTCAGACATTTCCCACTTTTGACATCCCATATCCTCACACTCTCATCAAACTGGAAACAATCACAGGAGAAGGGAGTGTGAGTGTGTGTGCGTGTGAGACAGATGTCTGCTTCTGATTGGCTGTGCGTTTCACTGCTCTACTCACTGATCCTGAAACGATGAGATTGGACTGAGGGTTGAAGTTGCAGCAGAAGACATAGTTACTGTGTCCTTTCAGAGTTTTCAGACACTTCCCCTAAGACACGGAGGAAACATTTGACATTAGTATTCACATAAGTACATAAGTATTCAAGCAGAGGTTTGTGGACTTTTAATTGGACATCAGAGTAAACAGTTAAGGCCCAGTTTTTACCGAGCTGACATCCCAGATCTTCAGAGTCTTGTCGTCTGATGCAGAAACCAGGAGGTTAGAGTCTGAAGACCAGGACACGTCTGAGATGCCCTGTTGAATCATCGGAAATCCAACATTTACATGTAGCCACCTGTGAGTGATACAGTGACCCTTTTTTCATAACAAGATAACCTGTCTCTCAGGATTAATGTGTGATAATTAGGGGTGTGTATTGCCAAGAATCCGGTTATACAATATGTATCATGATACAGAGGCAACAATATAATATATTGCAACACACTGCAATACTATAGGACAACATATTAAGCTTATTTTTTATACAACTTAATTGTAGGAAAAAAGTCAGCATTGTAAACACACAATGTTGTTACAGGCTTAACATCAGGTTACTACAATTGGAACAGAGGGATCTACGTTTGTGTATGCTAGGGTGAAAAAAATAATAGCATTAGCAGGATCTTTTGGATAAACAAAAGAAAAAAATTAAATTGTTTGACTCAACTCAGTCTTAAATACTTGCAAATATAAGCAGTCCCTGTACAATCAACCAACGGTTGGTGATTTAAATGCAACACAAAAATGAACCAGCAAGAATATTTGCATTTAAATTGTTAATAAAAAACAGTGCTGTAGAATATCGATGCAGTATTGTGAAATAAAATATTGCAATATTTCCATGTATCGATATTTTCTTACCCTAGTGATAATATATAATTGATAATCATGATTTACTATTCGTTGACGGGTTACAGGACACACTCACCAGTTTGTGTCCAGCAATGGTTTTCTCAAACTTTCCGTCGTAAGCACCCCAGATTTTAATGAGTTTGTCAGCAGCTGTAGAGACAGAGTCAGGATGCCGTCACTAACTGGTTACGAGCTCATCACATGCTAAGACACTGTGTGTCAGTGTGTCTGACAGAACCTACAGGAGCTGGCCAACCATTCACCACTGGGACTGAATTTCACTGAGGAGACAGCTTTAGTGTGACCAGCCAAGGTGAACTTCAGGCTGTAGGTTGGTTTGGCAGGAGCAGACTGAGAAGAAAAACATAAACATGACAGCTTAAAAAACAGTGATGTGGAAAAAGTAAAATATTTGTTAATTCATTTCCCTGAAGCCTTTCCTTGACATGTTTCCTAGTGCAGCCTGTAATGACCACAAAAACATTATGAAGGAATAGGTGTGTGCTGGATATGGAGGTGGGGAGTGGAAGGTGTGAGGAGAATACTCTGAGCTTTAGAAAAACCCTGACCTTGCTCTGAGTGGCAGAAGCCGAGGTGGCGATTGGAGGTTTGATGTCAGTCTCTGGCTTCTTTTCTTCTGAGGCCATTTTCAAGAAATTTTTTGTATCAAATCTTCACAATCCTGAGACAGAGCAGGGGTTTAAAGATCTGACTGCCACAGAAATAAAATTCACGGTAGAAGATCTCAGGATGGAAAATAGAACTGATGTCTACTCAAGAAATAATATAAATAAAAAAGCAGAAGCAGCCCTTTAGCTTAATCACACACAAATATGTCTAGAAAAAAACAGACATTAGTAATTGAGCATTTTTAAGCCAAACCTCAGGGGTTAATATTCTGTCATCTAAAACATTCTAAATGTCAGTCTGCACAGATCCAACTTGTTCTTTAACAGCTGTTAAACCCACTCTGCTCTAATACATAAAAGGACATCCAATGTCACACTGACATACACATCCAACATACACATTCTTCCATTTTTTTCCCTTTTGCAAGGTCTTCCTCGGAATTTTATTTTATAATTTGATACTGTTGACAATATTTTTATTACAGTTTTGTTACGTTGATATTTTGTTATTTTTTGGCAAAAATATGATCTTGAAATCCTCCACAAATCCGTTTTTAGTGCATTAATTTCTTGAACTCTAACTATTTTTAAATATTGCACAGTGTTCAACAGTTTTAAAAATAATAATAATCGAACCTAACAGTTTTAAAAATAATAATAATCGAATAATTGCTTCGTCTAATTATTCGTTGTTTAGTTCCATTGCTTAAAATTGATTTTCTTTGATGAGAATGGGTTTTTGTTTTACGCATAAAGTGCACAAACACGAGACAACCAAAACTGAAGGGTCTCCGTTTATATACGTGACATTACAGACGGCACAACATAGGTTTAAAATTAATAGTTGGGACACTATCTATGCCAAAAGATTATTTAAAAAACTACATTTATGTTAAATTCAACCTTGTTGATTTACAAAAAGGACTTAAATGCGGGGTTCTGATTAAAAATGTAACCGTGAAAAAGGAGCCGCGGCTTCTTTCATTCAAACAATGAAGATTTAAACGCTCAACACGACACTTACGTATGTTTTACGGCAGATCCGCGTTCACCCCGTTTCTTTATGTTTAAATGTTAAAAAATGACAAGAAAAATGAATTTAAACCCATTTGCTGGCATAAAGAAAAGTAGCAAATGGAAAGTGTTTTGGTCAAAGACAGAGAAGAGTGAAAAAAATAAAAATGTGGAAAAACCGAAGCTGCTGCCGCTCAACGCATGCGCATTGCCATCCATAGCGACAGTAAGTCACAAAGGACAAAAATGCTAAAGTCAGTGTAAGAAAAACGTTATTTCATAGTCATAGACGTTATAGTAATTATCTTAAACGTTGTGGTAAATGCGCAGTAGTCCAGACCGTAGTTATGCAATTGCCGGTAAAAACAAAATCTTGTTTTACCACAAATATGTGCTTAATGTGCTTTTTAAACAAAGTATATCAGAATTAAACTAGCATTCGAACATCTCTACGGGTATTGTCAGATCATTTTGATACGATAAACTCCAGCCTGTTGGTGACTAGTTGTACGCATACAGAACAATACTTTATCACTTAATTGTGATGTAAAGGTATAAATATGCACAATACGATATACATTTATAGGAACTTCTTACCAATGGGGGCGATAACAGACCCGTTTAGTCGTTTGTTAAGGTGCGACAAAAAGCAAAGAAGAAGACGTTAACCGGAAACTGCACTGTTGTTAAACTAACAGCTAACGTTTGTGGTAACCTTTCGGTAAAATTGTCAGATAGACGATTAAAACAATATTTCGGATACGTTGTTTGAAAAGATTGTTAAAGATTCTTTCGTTGGATTTCTGTACATTTTTTAACGTTCATTTATCCTGCTCTCGTTAAGTTCGTTTTACTGGAAGTTTGAGCAGAAACGGAGGAAACTCCTGATCGCTGTAAGAAATATCCTATAATACTTACCAGTCATATAACGTGGTCTTGTCATGTGTTTTGCTGACACTTATTTGATTTTAAGTAATTTCAAAAACACATCCGCACAAAGCCGTATGTGTATGCATCGGAGAGCTTTCTGTTAGAATACAGTATTAATAAACCCGTTGCAATGTTAAGTCTAAACTAATATTTCAGTAACTTTAAATTTTTAATGTCCGTTAGTTTGTAATGCTTTTATTTTATTACCTTTACAAAAATAATTCATTTGTCACCACTGTCACTCATCTTTCTGTAAATGTGAATGTTTTGTGACTACTCTCAAATTCAACGATTACTTTTTTTAATACTTGATAAATTAATATTTAAGTATAGACGTATATATTTAAATTTTAATACAGTCTATTTAACAGCATCGTATCTAACAGCAACGTTTTGCATTATTACTATTCAAACACTTGACAACTTTGTGTCAGGTCAATATTTTGATTAATTTATATCAAACAACTACCATATAAAAGATCGTTCCCAGTAAAATCACAAAGGTTCACACATTCTTATTATTTATATATATTCCAAAAGATTCATAGATAGTGGATTGGAACTCATATACACACATAAACCCCATTTTGTTTTTGTGTAATATTTTTGGTAATTTGTGACCCACTTTGTTATTCTTCATCTAACTAACCTCTAAACATTATTTTCACACACAAAGTATTGTATTTTAACAGGTGGGCGTGTGTGGAATGAAAACTATGAGGAGAATCTGTTCCTCTGGAGCACTTGATGACCTTGCACGAGAAAACTTCAAAATTCAGAGAAGATAAAAGGAACCAGACGTGGTCAAATATTCTTCTCATTCAGTGAATCCAGCACCACCACCATGTCCACAGAACCAGCAGACCCAGAACCGGCACAGGTGGTGAACCCTCCACCTCCTGAGGTGACCAACCCCAACAAACCATGCCGAAGAACCAACCAGCTGCAGTACATTCAGAACGTGGTGGTGAAGTCAGTGTGGAGACACCAGTTCTCCTGGCCCTTTTATCAGCCTGTAGATGCTGTGGCTCTGGGTTTACCTGTGAGTAGGTGTTTTTTTCTCTAAACTCTCAGGGTTTGATCAATCATTAATGTTTTTACCAAATTAGGTCCTGACATTTGGTTAATTCATTGTTAACTCGTTGATAACTTATTACCTAACAGAAATGTAATTTTCAAAGCTTTTCTTTCCGTTTTCAAACATATTTCAAGTCAATTCTTAAAAAGTTGAAACTTTCAAAGATTTTAAATAATATTGAAAGTACTCAAGTGTTGTGAGGTTTTACTAGTTCTAATCAAAGCAGGATCTTTTATTTAAATGTTTTGTAGCAAAAATGATGTTTTCAGGTACATTTTGAATTTTCAGGGAGTTCTTGCTTGAAAAACATCACATCAAAAAAGTTGATAAGTCAATGCATCTGTGAATTATTCAGTCAACTGATAGATGTTACAAGGCTATGGAGTGGGGGAGTGGCCGGTGCTGTTGCCATGCAGCAGGAAGGTCACCAGTTTGGCTCGTGTTCTTTTGTTCGGTTCCAGTTTCTTCCCACAGTTTAAAAATATGAAGGTGGATGTTAGGTTATTGTTCACTCTAAAATGATCATTGGTGTTAATTTGAGCCTGACTGGTTGCTCTTCATGGTGTGACTTCACCCTCACCTGATGACTGCTGGGATTGACATTCCAGATAGAAGTGGCAGATGCTGGATGGATGAATGGATGGACGGACGGATGGGTAGGCGAATGGATTGGTGAGCGAGTAGATAAATAGGTGGCTGGATGGATCATAACTTATCATCTCTCTGAGACTATCAGACATCTTTAAACAATGTGTGTCGGTGAAACGAAACCTAAGTCCCATAGGTCCCTCTGATGTTGAGTTTTCGTCTTCTGTCAGGACTACCACACCATCATCAAGACTCCAATGGACCTGGGAACCATCAAGAAGCGTCTAGAGAACAACTACTATAGCAGCTCCAGTGAATGTATGCAGGACTTCAACACCATGTTCACCAACTGCTACATCTACAACAAGGTGATGGTGCTACTACTGTGTTCATCATCACAGAGAGATGAGACAGTCTTCCTCACTGTGTTTGTGCATCCTTCAGCCCACAGATGACATTGTGCTGATGGCTCTGGCTCTGGAAAAAGTTTACCATCAGAAGATTTCTCAGATGCCTGAGATTGAAGTGGAGATTTTACCTCTAGCAGTAAAAGGGAAGAGCAGGAAGAGCAGCACGGCAGGTAAACAAAGTCACTGTCTGTGTGTGTGCATTTGTGTGTCTATGGATTGTAAATTGACTCTGTGGTGAGAATGGTTGGTGTCACATCAGAGTTTAAATGAAAATCTGATCACACTGATTGACCAGTTTATTTTATTTAGGAATGAAGTAAATTGAGCAGCAACTGCTGTGATTGAAATACAGTCCAAGTTAAAGTCAGTGTGGCTGACTCCACTGTTTTTAAGTTCATTTAACGTAGTTTTTTCTGGAATGTATTTTGGTTTTTATTTTCAATGTTTATAGCTGTGAAATTTTGTATTTAGTGAAATCTTTTTTTTAACATCTGGTGATTTATTAAACATTACTTTACATCGCTATGATCTTGTTCCATATGATTTTATATTTTACATATACAAAACATACATTGTTTTGATATCAGTGCAGCACAGTCTAATAATCATTCATGAATTATAAAATATAATAATGAATTATAATTAACTATAAACTATAATATTGTGGTAATGGATACTATCACTGCAGTAGGTTAAAAGTGGACACAGTATTTGGGGTCAGGAACTAAGAACTAGGTACATGATTGAACTGTTGTTTGATTCAAATTAAAAATATTCATTCTTTTCATTCAATTACAAGGAAAATAAAGATCAGAAAAGAGAAAGAAAGGGCGAGAGACCTGGACTCTGCTCTTGGCTGCAGTTTCTCTCTAATTTAGTTTGACTTTAATTTCACTCTGATCAGCAGCTGGGCACAATGAGGCAGGGACAACATCTCCTGCAGCTCCAGCCCCTGCAAAGGTCAGTGGTCAATCATATCCTTCTCATGATTGTGAAAAGTGTAACAGTGAGAAGGAACAGTCACCTGACTGAGGTGTGTCTTTGAATCAAGAGGAAAGCTGTGAACAGAAGGAACTCATTCATCACCACTTCAGCTCCGTCCACTGTCGTCAGCAGTTTGTCTAACAACAGAAGGAGACAAGAGAAGTGGGACTCAAGTGAAGCTGCCTTGACTGAGAGTGACTCTGAGAAGCAGCAGGAGCACACAAACACAGGCTGGTCTGACAAACAGCTGAAATACTGCAGTGACATCCTGAAAGAACTGCTGTCTAAAAAACATTCGGCCTACGCCTGGCCTTTCTACCAACCAGTGGACACTGAGAGGCTGCAGCTGCATGACTATCACAACATCATCAAGTACCCCATGGATCTGGGCACTGTCAAGGTACACACATATATACCTAACACACAATCACACATACACACAGTGCCTCTGTCAGTTCACTTCCAGACATTCTTGTTTCACAGACAAAGATGTCGGCAGGGGAATATCTGGACGCTCAGGGGTTCGCTGCTGACGTCAGATTAATCTTTTCAAACTGCTACAAATACAATTCTCCAGAACATGTCATTGTCTCCTACGCCAAGAGACTCCAGGTGTGTGTGCATACATGTGTATCTGTTTGTGAAGAAGAATCTTAAAAGCTAATCATTAGCAGGAAGAAGCTAAAGTTTAAGATTAAAAAACGGTGGTATGGTTTAACTTTTTAACTCTGTCTGACTTTGATCTGTGTGTGGTTCAGGGTGTGTTTGAGAGGATCTTTTCTAAGATGCCAGATGAACCTGTGGAGCTGACACCGTTGCTCAGAACCCGCTCCAACGCCAACAGAACCTGGAGGAGCAACGGTGGAGACCAAGCAGGTTCCCTGAACAGAGGTTCCTCACACTCAACAGAAGAACTGTCCTCCACACTGACCATCATCCATGACCAGGTCAGTACTCCCAGGCGTTCTCATTAGAACCTGGTGGACCTGTTAGGTAAAACTATTAATATCTTCTGTCAGCAGTCGCCCGTCGGTGGATACTTTCTCCTACTGCAGCTAGCGTTGTTTTTACCTTGAACTTCAGAACCTTTGAGTGAACTTACTTTTATCCTTTGATCTGCTTTAGTTCCTTTTTTTGTGTTAAAAGCTCTGTTAACTGACAGAAACAATAAAATCAAACCACTAACAGTTCATCAAAATAAAACAGTAACAAGACTTTGTTTTAAATCAATCACCTTAAAATATTTTCAAGGTAAGAAATAATGACTTTTTATTATTGTGTTTGAGGGCATTTTGGATCATTTATTTCACATTTAAATTTTATATTTTGGAAAAGATTTGTTTTTTATGACCTGTTTGTTTTTTTTTATCCTGCCCTTCAGTCGGACCACACTACTGTGGTCTGAGCTACAGAAACCCCAGCAGACATTTAACATCAGGATTTTTATCAGGAGCTTTAAAGTAGTATTAAAGATGTAAATTTACAGATTTAGTTGTTTTTATTTTTCCACCTCCTGCTGCTGATGAGACTCTGAAACACTGACATACTCTGTTGTTCTGTCTACAGATGAAAACGGTTGGTGAACAGCAGACTGGTCTGTCTGAAACCCCTGACGCTAAACTAAAGCAGAAGAACAGAAGTAGAGAGATGAAAAACAAAAAAAGTTCCAGGTAGGACTGTTGACGCCTCAGTGTCTCTAAGTATCCTGTCCTAAGACTCTGACACCGTCTTTCATTACAGATGCTTGTGGAAAAAACAGAAACCGTACGACTCTGATGACGAGTCTCTCCCCATGTCCTATGAGGAGAAGCAGAGGCTGAGTCTGGACATCAACCGCTTGTCAAGTGCCAGACTGGGACGGATTGTGTCTATCGTCAGGAGAGAGGAGCCGGACATGTGCAGTAGTGACATGGACGAGATTGAGATCGACTTTGAGAGGCTGAAGCCGTCAACGTTGAGGGAACTGGAATTCTACGTCAGGTCCTGTCTCCAGCGCAGGTTGAAGAAGATGCAGAGTGAGTAGCTGTGTTTGTTTCTCCACAGAATCCACTTTTACTTTTGACTAGGAACTGTTTAAAACTAGACAGAGTTAAAGCAAAAAACAAATAAAATAAAAAAAAAAACTGCTGTGTGAAAGTCAAAAGTTTCAGAACTGACCTGGAAAGTGCTTGAAAAGAGTTGGACTTTTTTTTTCTTGATCCTGGAATAAAAACCCTGGTGCCCTTAGCTTTTCACATTTTAACTATTCAGTCATTGCTTTTTTTCCCTGCAGAGAAAATGAAGAAAAGTTCCCCAGGTCATGTCAACATTGCTGCTGCTGCTGCTGAGACTTCCACAGACTCCACCTCCAGCAGCTCTGATGGCTCCGCTTCCAGCAGCACTGACGAATGACAAATCTGTTTCTGTTTTTATTTATTGATGTTCCACTATTTTGACCAATGAATCAATCATCGTTATATATGAGGGCTTTAAAAGTGATTAATGTCAGTAGGTTTTATTTTTTTATCTTTTCTTTTTTACATACTTAAGATCTTTGTCAGTTCATTGTTTATACTGTGAAATTAAAGTCTGTTTTACAGAAAAGTGTTCTCTTTTCATATAAATGTTCTCCACTAGAAAAACTGTTTACTAATCTTCGTCAAAAAACACTTTTTGCTCTGATTTTCTTAATAAATAGATTTGACAAACCGATTAAAATCTACATGAACACGGCTGAACCGATTTATAGCCAAACACTGTAGTTTCGGTGCTCAACCAGAAGATGGTGACGTTGTACCATTGTGGTTAAAAACGCATAAATTAAAGTCCTTGCGTTCATCTATTAGTACACATTCACAACAGTTGTTCCTGGTACTGTTCTGCGTGGTTAACATGTGAGGAGGTAAAAAAAAAAGGCCAGTGTCAATAACTGTTCCCTCCTCCATCGAACATCAGTGTTAATGATTCCTAAAAAGTTCTCCATGTTTTTCCCAGCAGAATTCCTCATTGATGAAACCATGATTGTCATTATCGAGAAACTGTTCCTGTTCTACAGGTCTCATGATATCTTAACCCCTGATTGTTTTCTCGTGTTTCAACAGAACAGAAACAACACTGAAGGAAACACTGGAGCAGAACAAGAAGATGGGAACAGAACACTGGGCCAGAACACGACACAGCACTGGAAAGATTGGTTCTGCAGGTCAGAGTGAGAACTTGACTTTTCTCACGGGCAGGTTTACCCACTCTGTGACTTCTTTACAGATGTTAACAACTCTTTTGTTAATCTGAACTCCAACACGAGTTTTTAATGGTTAAATAAAGTTAATCACATGGAATGAAACCAGTACCAGTTACGGATTATTAAAATGTCATGTTATGTCAATGTCCTCACTCAAAGATTGTCAAGTTTTCCCAGAGAGGGCGCACTCACACAGTGATGGCCGTAACAAGCATAATAATGATGATGACGACGATGAGGATGAGAATAATGTCGAGTAAGTTATGGTAGTGACAGAAGAGTGAAAAAATAAAGAGAGAAGGGTAGGAGGGAAAAAGGGAGCGGGGGAAGGAATGAAGAAACAGAGAAAAGAAGAGGGAGAGAGGAAGATGGAGAGAAAAAAGAGGGGGAGATAGAAGGGGATGCAGAGAGAGAGAAAGAAAGAAAGAAAGAGGGTGATAGGCAGAGAGAGAAAGAAAGGAAGAAAGAGGGGGATAGGCAGAGATAGAAAGAGCGAAAGAAAGGAGTAGGTAAGAGAGAGGTGGAAGTGGAAGAGGGGGAAATACAGAGAATGAGAAAGGAAGTGGGAGAGAGAAAGACAGAGAGCGGTAGCGAGTGAGTGAGAGAGAGAGCGAACACACGCTCTCCCTCTTTCACACACACACACACACACACACTCAGACAGAGGGAGCGAGTGCACAGGAAGCAGCAGAGTCCAGGACCCGGATCCAGATCCAGGCTCTCGGTCCAGAACCCGGGTCTCGGTGGTTTTCTTTTAAGACTGAGAACCCATTCACAGGATCGGTGTTTTTGTCTGTACCGTGTCCGTGGTCCCGCCGTTTCCGCTGTTTGTGAAGGCGGTGTTCCCACCGTCTTTTCTCTGGAAACCCCTGGAAATCCCTCGGAGCGAGCGTCGGTGAGGCTGGGAGCAGCAGGAGGCGCTCAGTGGAGGACTTTACTTCCCAATTTCAGCGGGTTCTCGAGGGGTTTGTTAGCGAGGTTTCTACTCCTTTTGTGACTGAGGTGAAATGTGAAGGAGCAGCGGAGCCTCCTGCTCCTCCTCACCCCGCGCCCCTCACTTTTCACCTACGCCTCTTTGTGTTTTTGTGCGAAAATGCGAAGGAAACTTTTGGGTGGATGAGGAGGATTCCCGGATCCTGCTGCCTGATTCTCCTGCGGCTGGAATTCTGCGGAGAGCAGCTGACATGTGTGAGGGACCGTGGGACATTTCAGGTGTAAACCAGTTTCATCATCGAGTCTAAACGGATTATTAAAGATTATTTAAAGCTTTGCAGATTATCAGAAATCACAGGAACACCTTCCTGCAGCTGCAGCAGCCATAGGAGACACCGACCCCTGCGTCTGCTCTGACGCCGAGCAGCGACGCCCTCAGCCCGCCGTGGACAGAGTGTGGCCTCGGTGTGGCTGCCCGGGTCAGTGTGAGCAGCAGTGTGAGGAGCAGCAGACATGGAGGAGTGGAGACAGTGTGGACGCTGGCTCATCGACTGTAAGGTGCTGCCACCCAACCACCGGGTAGTGTGGCCCTCATCGGCCGTCTTTGACCTGGCCCAGGCCCTCAGGGATGGAGTCCTGCTGTGTCAGATGCTCCACAACCTCTCCCCTGGATCGGTGGACCTGAAGGAGATCAACTTCAGACCCCAGATGTCCCAGGTGAGTCTGTTTTTCTGCTGCAACACCTTCACGGTTTAAGCTGAGTTTACAGTATGGGGTCTTCAATCACACTCCTTCAGTCAGAATGATGAGAAAGACAGGGATGATGATGAGAATGATGAAGGAGGAGGATGATGATGATGATGATGATGACAAGACCATAATGAATGAAGATCATGATGAGAATGATAAACATTCATGAAAATGATGAAGACTGACTCTGGTGTCTCATCGTTGATGATATGTGGATCTTAAATCTTTTCATCATTTTGTACTTTAGGAATGAAATGTGTGAAATTTATTATATTATCATAGTTATGCATTAAATGTTGTTTTCATCATTTTACTATTGATTTCTGTTTCACGCTGTTGTTGTTGTTAGTTGACTTTGTATCCTGGACACTGTGTCAATAACAGTGGTCTTGGTGAACGTTGGTTTGTTACTGCAATGATGTATTGGCTGTTGTCATCAGTTACAGCCTCACAGAGCTGTAGTCACTGCTGGTGACACACAGTATCAGGTTCACTCTTGGTTCTTATGATGGTGACACACACACACACACGTGTTTTACAAATGTAAATATTATCTATAGTCATGAGAAAACTCTGAGAAAAGTATCACTTATGAGTATCACTGCTGGATGTTTGACTCAGATCAGATCTGTAACATGGGAATGTTCATGGTTTGATTCTTCAGTCTTCATGATTTAGGTTAGTTTTTTTTAAGCTATACAGCAGGATCTTCAAGGATCCCCAGGTCAAGGATAAACCTAAACCTTATGGAGGAGGGACCTATACTGTATGTTTATGTATAATGTAGTTTTCTTTTTATTTCATGAAGGTAGCCCACGCATAGACGGACCAGAAGTAAAAGCTCCTGTTGATCATGTCAGTGACACCAGGTGTTTAAAAACCTGTGTGGAGCAGGATGTGAAGAACCCATACTCACCCACTCACTTTCTGATGTACTATTTTTTTTAGAGTTTAAGTAAAAAGATTAATGGTTCAATCCCCAGCTGGAGTTCTCATGTTCTCCCTGTGTATGTAGGGATTGTGTGTGTGTGTGTTGGGGGGAGGCAGGGGGAGGGACTCCAGGTACTCCAGATTTTTCCCACAGTCCAAAACTTGGAGATTAGAGATCAGGTCAGGTGCTTGTATCTTGGACTGGAGAGGGTGTAACCCCACCCTCACCTGATGACTGCTGGGATTGGCCCATTTTCATGGGCATAATTTGAGTGGTTGTTGATGTCTCAGCCACTTTGACTGTTTGACCTCCCGAGGTAGAGGTGTGGACTACACGTCTGCCTCTGCCTCTGGACACCTCCCACTCTCCTCTGCTGCTGCCTCATGTTTTCCCAATCCAATAGGAGGAAGTGTCGTCTTCAACAGGAAGTCAGTTTGACCGGTGTCAGAGGTCGACATTCTCTGTGGGCTTGACTCTAATTAGGCGTGACGTCTGGGCTGAAAATCTTCTGTGATGCTGTGTGGAGGAGATGGAACAGTCGCAGAGTTTGTCTCACATACAGTCTGTATTCAGGCTGTGAGGCCCATACAGTACATGTAGCTGTCTATGATGTGGCTCATAGTGTACTCATATTCTCATCCACCTGACATCATATGGCAGTCATTTTTTGTTCCTTTCTGTTCTTCACACACTCCAGTTTCTACTGGGGAAGGTTCGATACAATAATGGTCAAAACTTCAGGATCGAGCATCAAAAAAACAACTATAGCCCGTCCAATCTGATACCAAAGCCCAAATGCTTAACTTAACTTTGAGCTACATGCCGTAAACAGGGGCACTATCACCTCAGCAACAGCAGCCAATAGAATCCTGGAGGAGAAAAGAAGGTATCAGATTGATCAAGTTGCAGTATAAGTATCGGACATGAAAAAATTGTATCGAACCATCCCTAGTTTCTACCAGACATTTATGTGTACTCTAACAAAACTTGTAGGCAGTTGTCCACATTCACCCATCTTTGTGGTATTTACAGCAAATGCACAGAAGAATATTGTCCTCCTATTTTAAAACCACATTTTCTGGTCCATATTTTCTGGACATGTTACCTTTATTTACTTTTATGATCTCATTTTATGGATCATAATTCCTTATGAAGGTTTTTGGAACATTTTCTCTGAATTTTCTTGCTCATTGTAAAGTTTCAGCAGTAATGAAAACAGCCACAGTCGTAGGTCTGTGTCGGTCGTTGGGCGTAAACAGTTTCATGGGTAGAACCTTCTCTCAGGTTCGCTCTGGTGGAGACAGAGCAGGTAGGGATGCGGTTCTCACTCCCTCCTCCTCCTCTCACTCCCTCCTCCTTCATCATCACACCCTGGCGCTTTGAAGAAGTAAAAGTTGTTTTTTAGTGTGTGTTATCAGCCTCCAGGAAGTCCATGATTATAAGGCAACAGACGGACACACACATACTCACACACACGCACGTGTGTGCACACAGAGGGAGAGGGAGCTGCTGGTGTAGATGATGGTGCAGCTTTGATCCACCCACTAATCCCACTCTGCAGAAGGAGTGTCCTCAGAGCCTCAGTGACAAATTGGGTCAAAGTGGTTGTTGGCAGCAGAACAGTGGTGTGTGATTTATGACTAGGAAAAGGTCAGGGTATGTGTGTGTGAATGAATGAAGCCCAGCCGTAAATGTTCTTTTCTCGAAACTACATTTTTCTCCTGCTTCACGTCCCTGCTCTGATGGATGTTCCTGAGTGTTGACGTTCACAGCGACGTGATTTACCACATGCACAGTGTTGACCTGTGTGTGTGTGTGTGAGCCTGGGAGTATGTGTTACCATGACCCCAGTGATAACAGTGCAAGTCAACAGGTGATATGGTTTTTGCTTTATTTATATTTGTGATGTCTTTGATGATCATAAGAAAAAGTTTAATCAACACACTGATGAAAGACTTTCAATTCTACTGACCTACTGAACTGGCCCCAGGAGACCCATTCATATCTGAACTCATTTTTTAATATAGTCCCAGTGCTATGATCAGCCCCCAATCCACACTTTAGACACACCTGGTGCAGGTTTTAGAACAAGAAAAAAAGTTTTTCCCCTCACCCTGACATGCTGGTAGGTCAAGAACTGATGGAGAAGTTCTGGATGTTTGGGTCGTACTAATGTATGAGTGAAGTGTGTGTTTGTCGGGAGGTTCAGTGGATGCACATCTTCATAACCTGAGGCTGAATCTGAACAAACAAAGACTGTGGTTAGTTGTTAGTGAGGTGATGCTGAATATCTGTGGGATGAGTCAGGCTGCTGCTGCTGCTGTGTTTGTTAAAGCACCTGTGTCAGGGTTGAGTCACTGTCTGCTGATCTCACGGATCTCCTGGAGATCTCCTTGCTGCACCTCAGGTTAGTCTGTGTGATGGTTGTATCAGGTTGAGAATGGTGACACATGGATGAGATGACAGGAGTCTGGATGAGTGAATGGATGGATGGATGGAAGAGTTGGTAGATGTTTGGATGGATGGACAGAGGGGTGGATGGATGGACTTTCTACTTTCTCATACTTTTACAGCCATAAAGATCTTTTTGATCTTGTTCTGTCTCTTCTTTGTTACCAGGTCAAGTTTTTTCAGTTGGAATTCACCTGTTCCTGCCAATGTTCATTGTTTCTGGTTCTGGTTCTAAACGCAGTTCCTGGTACCGTTCTTACGTTGGTGCTCCTAAAACACACTGTTTTTGTAACTGCAGAGATTCTACAGTTTTTGATGATTCTGCAGGTTCTACCACAGACTGTGATGAAATCTAAAGAGTTCTTGCTCAAGACAGTGATGAGATAATAAACAGATTTTCTTTGACCACATGAGTCATGTTGTTGGACTTCAGTATAGACTTTTTAAACTATTGTCATCCAGAGCTCACAAGTTCATCTGGTGGTTTGGTGTTTGACTTCATCTTCCATGTGTGGTACTTGTTATCTGGTTAAGGACACAGTTTCAGTTTCTCAGAGGTTCTTTTTATTTTGTTTCTGAGAGAAAGAAGTAAACATTAAAGCACATCTTGTGAGTGAATATAGTGATTCCAGTCAACCTGTTAGTTTTGTTCAGCAGATCAACAGGAACTGTATTCTCATCTGTCTACAAAATAATCTTTTCACTGAAAT